TCTCTGTGAGAATTGCCAAGCTCCATTATCAGTCAGCCACATTCTGTTGGACTGCCCCCTTTATCAACGAGCACGCAGAATTTACCTCCGTCGTCGTCTTCACTCCGCTGCTCTCTCTTTACCTTCCCTTCTCGCTGATGGACCCACCTTTCATCTGGACTCTCTCATTGACTTTTTGACAACAACTGACTTACTTCACAAATTCTGATACCTTCACCCCTTTCTACTTCAATCTCTTGCTACCCTCTACCCCCGTACTATCCCCTGCCCCACTGTTTTCTGTAACCTCCTCCCTTCTGCCACCCAATACCCTCGCTTCCTTCCCTTCCCTGCAGCGCTGTATAGCCCTTGTGGCTTAGCGCTTCTTTTTTATTATAATAATAATGATAATCTGACCACTTTATTGGATAGCTAAAATTGGTAAATGGGTGGTTTCTTTTCACAAGGCAAAGCCGTGGTACATTCTCGAACTTTACCAGTCAGCGTCGTATGCAATAAGACAGCCCAGAATTGTCGGGGCCACTGCATAGCTCGAGCCTGATTTTCGAATGTATCGAAGTATGTGTCCAGATCAGACTCGCAAAACGGGAACCAAAGATGCTGCTTTATGAATGTCGAAAGGATTTCTGGGGGCCTCGGGCCTCACAACTCCTTCCCTTTGCCACTGACGTTCGTAGAGTATGGTGTCCCCCTCAAACTCTTCTGCATTCAGTTTCCTTTGGGCTTCTATTTGGGCCATTTGTAAAATAATAAGGTGCTCCCTTCTTTCGAACTGGCTCTGTAATATGGGCCCAGTCGGTAGTGGAGGAATTGGGGGATACAAGTTTTTTCCCGCCCTTGCCTTGGGTCGAGCACCTGGGGCCGGGTGCTTCTAGTGAACCAGGGTCAGAAATGGGTGATTAGATGCTCCAATTTGAGGCACCTCTTCGGGGATGTTTAGCCACCAGAGCTCCCTTTGATTCTGACTCACCCACATCACCAGGAGGTAGGGAAGTTGGAAGGCCACCAAGATCAAGTCCTTCTACTCCAAGAGGTCAGTCCAAGTCTTCAAACTAAGATATTAGACTTGTCTCATCAGTATCATCAATATCATCCACCTCTCCTTGTTCTGGAAACAGCATGTTTCTCAAAATAGATTGAGTGGTCTCGGCGGTGTAATATTTGTTATACTTCACTCCTAGGTGTATGGCAATTTGCCAACACTATTGAAGTTTTAAAAACTTCAATCCCCCAAAGGGTTAACTTACTTATTAACTAGTGTATTTGACCCTCCTAGTTAATTTTATGGGTACCTGAAAGCAGCTCCTTTCATGGGATTGGCACTTACTTCCTAGGGCTGATATTTCCTCCATCACCTTGGATCAGAGAGCAGATCCCAGACAGGCCCCCACTTTGTTACGAACATAGTCAGTTGGTCCCTGCATTATAGTGATTTTCGTAACAAACTAACAAATTTTAAAACACATCTAGGGGTCTTTATTCGTGGAGGAAAAGGAATTTCCTTGGTTTCTATTTAATTTATTAATAACCAAAACCACTTAAATCCTCTTTCTCATATTTTGCACTATGAGTAGAACATTTATTAAAACATCACAGAAACTAGGTTTATGTATTTGCAAATGGCTCTGAGTCAGGAAATATCAGTAAAATGTACAGGCACAGGCGTTGCTTTAAAAACTTGAACACCACATTGGAGAACTCTTACATGGGGTTCACTCTGCAGTAAGCCCTCTACACCACAGAGGCTTGATCACTTGGCTTCACTTTCTCTAAGAGCTTCCCAACCACCTTCTCCAACCGAGATATGTCTTAACAAGGAGTTTCCGAAAATTCCTGGTATTTATTAGGGAGGCGAATGTTGGTCTAGAGGTGGACACTTCCCGAGACCCTTCTTGGTCCAGAGGAAGGTATGAACTGAACTCAGTGAGGCTTTACCAGCCCACTTTGATTCGGTCGGAGCAGGGGTTGAGCAGCTCAAATCACCTACTGGTGCTTGGCCAGGTCGCACCAGCAGTTGAGACTAAATAAACAACCTACCTATATACAAAGCTAAGTAATACGACCAATAATATTATGAAGTCGAGTAAATCCATTTTAGCAAACTAATGAATTACTCCTGAATATAATATTAAGTGAAATAGCAAAAATTACATGTACAGGTCTCCCTCAGCATTCGCGAGGGTTAGGGGATCAAGAGCCTCGTGAATGTTGAAAAAACGTGAATGTTTGGTGCCCCAATACATTGTAGGGAAATATAATACGATACTGCTTCCTTAACTTGTTGGACCATGAACAATCATAAAATACATGAAAACGTCGTAAATTGTACTAAATATATACATGTTATGCTTTAATAACATGTATGTTATTAAATACCACAGACTCCACCATTTGCCCCACCAATGCCTCCACCAATGCCTCCACCAATGCCTCCACCACTTCCTCAACCACTGCGAGTCCCTACTACCCTCCCACCGACCCCCGCAACTGGCAGCCAGTCCTCCCACCACTAAGTGTGGTGAATGTTTTGTTTGTTCATTATTTGCTATTAACTACAGTATAAATTTTGTAAACCCATTCAGGGACTGCATATTGGAATGGCTATTCAGACAGGTATTGGACGGTGACATCATGTGTTTACTCTTGAACACAGCAAAGAATCAAACATTTCTGCCACTGCTAATAATAACAATAGTAATAATAATAATAATAATGATAATAAAATAATAATAATAATATAATAATAATAATACGATATAATTGAAGAAGGAAATTGTACAAAAATAGGGAGGGAGTGGTTGACAAATCGTCAGTGTGGCTTTGTTTATGCTTTAGTGAGCATTAGCCCTCCCTGCTCTTCCAAACATTTCACAATAATCAGCAGTTAAAGGCAGTGGTATTAATAACATATATGTTATAAATAATAGTACATATTATTAATAACTTGTATTATTATTATTAATAACATGTATGTTATTAAATACCACTGCCTCAACAGCTGCTTCAACCACTGCCTCAATCGCTGCCTCAACAGCTGCCTCAACCACTGCCTCAATCGCTGCCTCAACAGCTGCCTCACCCACTGCCTCAATCGCTGCCTCAACAGCTGCCTCAACCACTGCCTCAATCGCTGCCTCAACAGCTGCCTCCACAGCTGCCTCAACCACTGCCTCAATCGCTGCCTCAACAGCTGCCTCAACCACTGCCTCAATCGCTTCCTCAACAGCTGACTCACCCACTGCCTCAACAACTGCCTCACCCACTGCCTCAATGCTGCCTCAACAGCTGCCTCAACCACTGCCTCAACCACTGCCTCAATCGCTGCCTCAACAGCTGCCTCAACCAATGCCTCAACCAATGCCTCAATTGCTGCCTCAACAGCAGCCTCAACAGCTGCCTCACCCACTGCCTCAATCGCTGCCTCACCCACTGCCTCAACAGCTGCCTCAACATCTGCCTCAACAGCTGCCTCAACAGCTGCCTCAACCACTGCCTCAATCACTGCCTCAACAGCTGCCTCACCCACTGCCTCAATCGCTGCCTCAACCACTGCCTCTACCACTCCAGTCGCATTTCAATCTACAAGCACCAAACACAATAAATTTAAATGTAAAATGTTTGGAAGAGCGGGGAGACTAATGTTCACTCCAGCATAAACAAAGCCACACTGATGATGTGTCAACCACTCTCTCGTATTTTTGTACAACTTCCTTCTTCATTATATCGTATTTATTATTTTTAAAGTATTATTATTTTATTTTTTACTATTTTTTATTATTAGCAATTTAAGCAGAAAAGTTTGATTTCTTTGCTGTGTTCAAGAGTAAACACATGATGTCACCACTAAACCTGTCGAATAGCCTTTTCCCAATATGCAGTCATGAATGGGTTTACATTATTTATACTGTAGTTTAATAGCAAATAATGAACAAACAAAACACTCGCCACACTGAACGGTGGGAGGACTGGCTGCCAGTTGCGGGGGTCGGTGCGAGGGTAGTAGGGACTCGCAGGTGGCGGGAAACTTGGATATGATTTGGCGGCTGTGAATTTGGTGGCTGGGAATTTGGTGGCTGGGAATTTGGATGTTGGGAATTCGTGAATGTGTGAAGCCCGTGAAAGCTGAAAACATAAATGTTGAGGGAGACCTGTAAAAGTATACCATTGTGATAATAACAAGTAGAAACAGCCTACTAAAAATGAACAAAAGGGTGTAACATATATACAGCCTCTCCTTACTTTATGACAGAGATCCGTTCCTAAACCCACGTTGTTAAACGAATTCGTCGCTAAGTGAGAATCATACTGTAATAGGTGATTTTGTGTCAACCATCTTTGTTATTGTTTTAATGTCACCTTTGCACCATTTGTAACATTTCTGTTATATTTTTAATTGCTTTGCAGTAATTGTAATAAACAGAATAGGGAAAATCAGCTCTAATCTATGTACTTACATTATTTAGGCATGCATACTGGTCAGGGAGCCTGTTATAAGTCCAAGACGTCAGTAAACGAGTACGTCACTAAGTGAGGAGAGTCTGTATTGAAATAAACAGAATAGATGAAATCAGTTGTCATATACATTATTTAGGTATAAATTCTGGTCAGAGAGCCCAACATAGTCACTGTGCTGTACTTTTAAGCCTTTCACTGTCCACACCTCCATAATTAATACTGCTCTTAGTGTCCACTTTTTTTTCAAATGAAAACAAATCTGAAATGGAAGAGAATTTTTCTGAAGGTAATGACATGAAAAGTATGAAATATGATGGAAAACTTACAGAATTATGCAGATACAAAGTTAGTGGTCCTGGTACAGTTATGCAGATACAAAGTTAGTGGTCCTGGTACAATTATGCAGATACAAAGTTAGTGGTCCTGGCACAATTTACACATTAACAATTCACCCACTTTGAGTTTTAGTTTAAGACAATTCCATTGTTCCATTCAACCAAATTCTTATCCTTATAACTAGTACACCTTCCATTTTATTGTTTAAGCACAAAGAACTGCCATTCAACTATTACAACTACACTATAAAGTCCACAGAAATCGGTAGTCTGGCTAAGTTTACAGAAAAGTAAAAAATAATTTAGAAACAGTCCAAAATATTCCCTGTAGACATTCTTCGCTCTAAAACAAAATTTTCCCTGTTCATTATTCACATCCCCAGGACTATACTATATTAAACTTACCTTCCATGTTAAATTTCCCTGTTCATTATTAACCCTTTCAGGGTTAATAATGAACAGGTGTGAGTACTGGTGTGAGCACTGAGGCAGACATTAACAAACTGATGCTTATAGTCACTGGTCTGTTGATGAGCAACAACGAAAATATACACGTCCAGGATGAACTTCCCACCAGACAAACTTGTGATTAAGAAGAGTTTGTTTATTTTATTGAATGCACAACTGGACTGGATAGCCATTTAATACAGTGTATTCAGTCCACTTCATGGTTATTTTAATCAAACATGTTCCCTTTAAACATACATGATGAGCCTTTGTCATGCCAGATTTTTTGTCCTTTTTAGCCAACAACTGCTTTATGGAGGTCCATTTTATGACATTTACTGAACAAGACATTCCTCACATTAATGTTTGCCTGTAAAGGAGGCCTACTGATCTTTCCATGTTTGAATAAACCAGCCACTTTTTCTTCCTTCACATGATACATTTCCTTCATTCCTACTTTCTGTATGACCATGTTCTTGATATTCTACTTTCACTTGATACATTTCCCTCATCCCCACTATCAGTATGAACATGTTCTTGATTTTCTACCTTTACTTGATACATTTCCCTCATCCCCACTATCAGTATGAATATGTTCTTGATTTTTTACCTTCGCTTGAGAAGTTCACTACATAAAAACAACATATTGTGTAAGATAAGGTAAAATTTCGTTTGGAATTTTTTTAACCCCCGGGGGGTTAGCCATCCAGGATAACCCAAGAAAGTCAGTGCGTCATCGAGGACTGTCTAACTTATTTTCATTGGGGTCCTTGATCTTGTCCCCCAGGATGCGACCCACACCAGTCGACTAACACCCAGGTACCTATTTGCTGCTAAGTGAACAAGACAACAGGTGCAAGGAAATGTGTCGAAATATTTCCACCCGCCGGGAATCGAACCTGGGCCCTCCGTGTGTGAAGCGGGAGTTTGCCACCAGGCCACCTGTCAGGTGTTGCTACAGTTTCACACATCAGTGTTTACTTGAGATGAAAAGCAACAATAAAGCTGTTTGTTTACACTCCATATTTAATACCACCACTAAAATTGTATATGCTTGATATATAATTGTGTTTATTCTTGTATTCTATGTATAGTGAGTTATAATGCTATAATGATTCTAATTGGTTCTAGAACCTCATTCATAAGACAGATAATCCATTACAGGCACCCAAATACAACCACTTAACAATGAAAAATACAGTGGACCCTCGGTTTTCTTGTTTAATTCGTTCCAGAGCCATCTGCCAAAACTGAAATCAGCCAAAACCGAAACCATTTTCCCCATAAGAAATAATGTAAATGGAATTAATCCATTCCAGACACCCAGAAGTATCAAGAATTTTTTTTCCTTAAAGATAGTTTACATGCACAAAAGAATGAATATTACACATGACACTTACCTTTATTGAAGGCCATTGTCGATGGATGGAAGACAGGGAGGAGGGGAGAGGGAAGAGAGGTTATTGTTTGGAAGGGGAATGCCCCTCCATAAGGACTCTAGGTACCAAGTCATTATCTGGGGTCACTTCCCTAGCTTAAATATAGATTTACATGCAGAAAAGAATGACATAGAAATATATAGCACTAATAAAATGTATAAATGAATATTTAACATCACAGTTATCTTTATTGAAAAGACTTGGTGTATTGCAGACTGGGTGTAGGGGGAGAGGGAGGTGAGTTTATTGTTGGAGAATATGACACTAATATCATCTCTACAGCTTATTTATCTATCACAATTCCACTAATATGACATAAACAATATTGATAACTTGGAAACATGATATATACTCTAGAATTAATAAAATAAGTCATTATGTTTGTTACGACAAGTGTTTTGTTATTGTTGTTGTTGTTGGGTGTATAAGGGCCACTGTGAGCATAAGCCATACATAATGTTGGTGATGACTGCAGCTGAGGTGGCGGTGTTTTCTGTAGCCCTATATAACTCAAACAACATTGGAGGAGTTAGTAGAATCGCTGAATCACTGAAGGCACCCTCTACCACAATCTCAACCACTACCACCATCACTACCACCCTCTACCAGCATCACAACCAGAAGTACCCTCTTCCACCATCACTACCACCCTCAACCACCACCACTTTTGTATTTTTCTGCAAACTTTTTCTTGAATTATGTCGTGTTTACAAAGGGCTGCACTAGAAGCTTTCTTTGGGCCCTTGGTGGCTTATTTAGCAGTCATTCACAATAAACAAGTGGCAAAAACAATGGATTGTTACAAAATGTTTCTTATGACTTTGCAGGATATGTTCACTCACTGAGAAATAATGCTACACTGGCTGAGAATGGTGTGGGAGGCAGCTTTGTCTGTGTGCTGGGCGCTGGACAGGTTCCATATGATTGACAAAAATGGAGCCAAAAAATCGCTGAAAAAGGTCGGCCAAAACCGAAATCGGCAATAACAGAGATTGAGGAAAATGGAGGGTCCACTGTAGAATATTAAATTGTAAAAAATGCATGAATGTGCATTCAACCCTTTCAGGGTTTCCGACGTACTTGTATGGCTTATGCACCAGGGTTATTGACCTAGTAGTATGTGTAAATTCTAGCGCCTTCAAATCTAGCAAGAGAAGCCGATAGGCCTATATGTGAAACAATATGTCTATGTGGTCAGTGTACACAGTATAAAAAATCCTGCAGCACACAGTGCATAATGAGGAAAAAAAAACTCCGACTATGTTTTTGGTTTAAAATAGCGACTTTGCACTGTATTTTTGTATGGTATTTATGGTTGTATTCTAGTTTTCCTGGTCTCATTTTATAGAATGGAAGACATATTACAAAAATTGAGATGATTTTCATTGATTTCACAGTGAAAAGTACATTGAAATTGAGCTCAAACTAGCAGAAATGTTCAATTTTTGCCAAAGTTCGAAAGTCAACAAATCATGCCACGCGTCCATTACACGTCAAATAGTGAGTCTAATGTTCTTTCAAAAGTGCACCGATATTATTTATACCATTTCTACACCATTTCTACACTAATGCAGTAGTCTGCATAACAGTAAATTTTCTATTTTTTGTGATAATAAAAATTCAAAGTGGAAAGTAAAAGAGATGAAAGAGGGGCCTGGGGATGTGACTAATGAACAGAGTAAATGTTATTTTAGTGCCAGGAATTTCTGTCTTGTTTATTCTGGACCCTATTTGGAAATTGGCATCTTTTGAAATTTGTGTGCAATTCGCAAAATTGCCAATTTCTGACCACTTTATTGGATAGCTAAAATTGGTAAATGGGTGGTTTTTTGTACTCATTCAATAGAAAAAATGGAGTTCTAGCAAAATAGTTATGATTTTGTCGACTAGTACGCAGGAATTGGCTGAAAATAGGGCTCAAAGTGGGCAAAATCGCCGATGCTTTTGGTGTCATTAGGATCGGGAAAAAATTCTCTGTCATTTCATAAAAAATAAATTTTTTTTCGAGAAATTTTTGACCCTGAGAAAAAGTTAGGAGAAGGCCTCTCAACCCTGAAAGTGTTAAACTCTAGAAATAAAGATTATCAATAATACTTGAAATAAAAAATAATAGAGTAGTACAAAAAATAATTAAAAGATACTGTATTTTATCCTAGTTTAGTGTTGAGCACAGGACAAGAGGCAGAGGAGAGAATTAACGTTTATGTAAATATCGTTGTATAAACTGTTCGTTATAACATGCCTCACTGTATGTGGTGTAATCTTTATTTATATTCAACAGTTGCAGATTCAGTAAATAAGAGAAGCATATTTAGTGAATGAAAAATAGGAAAATTTCAGTTGTTGTAACAGGAAAAATTTGGCATTCATAGTTCATGATGATCATAGAACATAAACCTACAAGTTAACCTTTATTTATAAATAATAATTGCCTGTATTAAGTACAATTAAAGATGTTTATCCCAACCCAGGAAACGTTGCATCCAGTACCCATTGTTTACCAACCACAAGCAACATCCTGCCTGGTCCCACTGCTGGACCACTGACCACTGGCAACATCTTGGACAGTACCACTGCTGGACCACTCACCACAGGCAACATCCTGGACAATCACACTGCTGCACAACTGACCACAAGCAACATCACACTCAGCTCTACTGACAGCAAAGATTCACTCGCGGATCATTGAGGTTGGTAAACTAATTTTCATACTTGGATATTTTCACTCATTTATGTCTGAAAAGGTTGAGTTCCAGCTCTTGATATCAGCCTTTGCTCATCAATTATTTGTTAGATAATCATTATACATAAATATTTCATTTGACCCAGCTCACTTAAACTTGTAATTTAGTAATTTACATTTGTCTCAATATTCAATTCTTTCCCATATACATTTTTTAAGACATAACAGCCGTCTCCCACCAAGATAGGGTGACCGAAAAAGAAGAAACAATTTTACCATAACTCACTCCATCACTTGTTTTGCCACGATACTACAGTTCAAAGCTGCAGATATCCCCATCCCTCATTCAGAATGCAGGCACTGTACTTCCCACCTCCAGGACTCTAGTCTTTCTAATTGGTGTCCTTGAAAACCTTTATAAATGTTGCTTTGTTCACACTCCAACAGCATGTCAAGTCATAAAATCCACTTGCCTCCACTCACTCCTACCTAACACACTCACACACCTGTAGTTTACCTGGAGAGGATTTCAGAGGTCAATGCCCCTACAGCTCAGTCTGAGACCAGGCCTCATGGTGGATCAGAGTCTGATCAACCACGCTGTTACTGCTGGCCACACACAAACTGTTGTACGAACCACAGCCCGGTTTACCTGGAGAGAGTTCCGGGGGTCAACGCCCCCGCAGCCCGGTCTGTGACTAGGCCTCCTGGTGGATCAGAGCCTG